CAGAATTTAATGGTGCACAAATATTGGTTACAGGTAGCGAAAAAGATAACCACATTATTTACTTGATCAGATCTTAACAGATAAGTATAACTATTATTGTTTATTCACAACAATGAAAACTGTAGCCAAGAAACCTCCGGACAAAGTCTTACACTACTCAGGTGTGTGTACACGTGTGTCCGAGCAGCATTAAGATGGCATGTCTGAGCTTCGGATGACAACTGTAGACGTACCGACTGAAACTCTGTCAAACTAGAATTACTAATATGTCCTGAATCAAAGATATAGACAGTAGAGGCTACTTAAATCAAAGACATAGACAGTGGAGGCTACTTATGGATTTCCACTCCAGAACACAGTGTAGGGTATAAAGTAGTTTTGAAAGAATTTTAAGATGAAGTCGGTAGTTATGAAAACAACGCCGTTCAAGGGCATACAATTGTCCCTTACAAACTTCTCAAGGAGGTTGTTATGTATACGACTAACACGGGCGAAAGTTTTATCTTGTTTTGTCTGTTGCATTAAAAAATTATATTTCTGGCTGTTGTTTCGATTCATGCACTCAATTAGAGAAACAAACGATTTCAATATCTCCAAAATATAACTCCTCCTCCTTAGGGCAAAGTGCAGCGCTGAATAAAGGATCTAAACTTACTTTAACAACAACAACAACTTATTATAACTGATCTTCTCAGTAGTACACCATAAGGCGTGTACACAAGCGAAAATGTTAGAGCAATCGAATCACTGACCGGTCAATCTTTGCAACAATGACGCCTTTTCGACATCGGCAACCCATCCCAGGCAAACACTGAGTTTCATAAGTATCATGGATCCACATCATTCTTCAACCTTAGCACTTTTTAATGTGCTGATTCTACACCAACTCAAGTTAAGTGTCTGAAATTGTAGATACCAAGATTTCATCCAAAAGCCTATCCAGATGGCTCCAATAACCGAATGCCTTTGAGTTGTTTGAGATTGATTATGAATCAGCTGTTGGTGACAATTTAGCATCTTTTTTGATCGTTCATCCCATCTAGGAGAGTTGTGATTATCGTTTAAAGGAAAGGAAACAATGCAAATCATCAGTGTTCAACGACGTTTTCCATATATCCATACTTGCTTG